TGATGAAGATGATGAATTAGAAAGACCTTAAATAAAGCAAAAAGCAAAAAAAAAAGGTTGAAATGTGACTATATCAAAGTTTACAACTTCAAGTCATCTTTTGTCATGCATAGACAAGCCACGGGCAGTAAGAAAGCATTTGCAACATCTATAACAGATAAATGATTAACATTACAATACTTAGCGAACTTGCAACACACGTACAAGGGATACGTGTAGGTAACTACATATAAGAGAAAACAGAAATTGCCAATGTTGTTGGTGTTGTGTGCCGTAAAGTCAACTCTGACTCATAGTAATCCTATATGAGACAGCAGAACTGCCCCATAGGGTTTCCTAGGCTGTAATATTGACGAGAGCAGATCACCAGGTCTTTTCACCTGCGGAGCCATATGCACTGCCTTACAAACTAATCAGGCAACCACAAATTAAAGAGATACAATGGTTGTATTCGACTGGCAAAAATTAAAATGTTTCCTAATAGTACTGTTGTGGCTGAGGAAACCATTGTTCTCACACAAAACTGGAAGGATTACAAATTGGCCCAGCCATTAAATAAACATTAGGGTATGATTCTCTTCAATCAGAAATTGTTGCTCTGAGCATTTGCCTAGGGAAACCCCTGACATATACACCCAGAGAAACGTAAACAAAGAGGGCTATTACTTTATATGAAAGGATTGTGTGCCTTTGCCCAAAACTGGAAACAAACAAAAATTGTCCATCAATAAGACTGTTTTTTTATTATTATTAAATAAAATCTGGTAATCTATTCTATGGGAAATGATACAAAAATTAAAAAAAGCAAGTTAGATCTGCATAAAAACCAAAACCAAACCCAACATAAAAAGTTCTCTAAGACATACTGCAAAAGTAAAAAGCAAGTTGTGGATCACCAAATAGAGTATGATGTCATTTAGCAAAAAAACGCACATACACAAAGCAAAATGGAGTATTTCTATAGTTACAGCACGTACAAATGCATTTTTAAAAAGGCCTAGAAAGATATTATGAAAGTGTTACCAGAGTTAACTCTGGAGAGAGGACTAGGATTGGAAACAATGAAGAGCTTAAAGTTAGTTTATATTTTTCTTACTTGCTTACATCAAAAACATATTTCTATATCGAAACTTAAAAATAAATACAATCTGTAACAAAGAGAGAAAGTAGTAGGATTCCTTCACTTAAAATGTATGTTTTTCTTCTCATCCCTTTATTTTAATTATGCACTCCCCTCCCCGGCATCTGCTTTAGCACTTCAAGGAAGGGTTTACTGAACTATATTGAACTGCTTGGATCTGAACTAGCAGCTACTGGTTTTATTTTAACACCAACCTTGGCACCGAAGCAGAGTATCAAGTTGCAAGGCAGAGGTCTACTTTGTTTCATATTCTAGCAAGATCAGTTTTTGTCCCCTCTTTAACTCTGACCCTTTTTCTTCTTTCGTCTTTCCTCCAAAATTGTGATGCAGATTCTTCTAGTAGTTACTGTGGTTTTCATGGCTAACACTTCCTGCGTTGGTATCTGGTGCCAACATGGCATAGTTCCAAGGAAAAGTCAGAGCTTAACGCAGGCCACCTCTTAAACATTCAGGCAGTGCAGGCGATCCTTCTCGTCCATGACTTAAAAATCAGCTTATCTCCTTCACATAATACGCACTTAAATAAGAAAAATCACCTTCTGTACATATTATGCATTACATAAGAAAAATTATTCTTATGTAATATGCACTTATGTAAGAATAATTAAAATAGTCTTATTCAGAAACTCATTTTTGCTAATTACAGTCAGTAAGATTTACAGAACCAACAGTAAAAAGGAAAGAATTATTAAAACAAGCCCAGAGCTGACACAAACTATGAACATTTATCCCTAAATATGTTCATATTTTATCTGCTTCCATCAACCCCTAACATTTTTTAATATTTTACCAAAATACATTTCTGCTGCCTGAAAGTTACTAGCTAGTTCTTGTTTAAACACACATACACACACACACACACACACACACAGAGTTGCTGTCGAGTCAACTCCAACTCATGGCGACCACATATATGTCAGTGTGGAACTGGGTTCAATAGGGTTTTCAGTGACTAATTTTTTGGAAGTAGGTCACCAGGCCTTTCTTCCTAAGTATCTCTAAGTGGACTAGAACCGCCAACCTTTCTGTTAGCAGCCGAGGCGTTAACTGTTTGCACCACCCAGGGGTTCCGGTTATTAACTCATAAATCCATCATCTGTGCTATCTGTCTGCTTTGCCATCTATCATTTCTATGGGAAGGCAGTATGTCATTGGCTTTTTACTGGTGGCTCTGGTACAAGCTATGATGTAGCCATGACAGAAGAGAGGACAATACAGTGTAAAATGTGAGGGGGTTTTCTTCCAGGGCTATAAAAAGAAAGCTACTGTAACAAATACTCTACGAAGGCTTTTTAACGCCTCTCAGATCACCACTGGGCAGACTTGGCTTCAAGTGATTGCTAAACCAAGTACTTCAGCGTAAGCTTCATGGACCCAAGGAGGAGCATGCTGCAAAGAAGACCAAGAGGAGGAGACTGGCAAAAAGAAATAACAACGTTACAATAAATACCAAAGCAAGCTTCCTAAGCAGTTGAAAACATAGTATGTTATCAAGGGATAAAGTTAAAAGTGCCATATTTTTTCTCCAAGAGATACATACATGTGACATATAATACCTATATAAGACCTATATAATACATGTGATAGATTCTTAAGACTAGTTGTCAGAAAAAAAATATTTAAAGAAAGGAGTATCATGATTTTGCTGTTCAGCCGGGTATTTTCAAATGATCTTATGCAAAAACACTGGCTAAAAGCTTGTCGTGCATCCCGCACTTTTGTGTTACCATTACTTCTAGCATGCATTTACGCTAACACATCACTCACATGCGTCCATCTCCTAGAAGTAGACACATCACTCTTTCTGGTTCCAGAACTGGGCTTAAAGCCAGAAGAAAATGACAAACTTGGAAGCATGGAAGGTTTAATTTTTTTCTCTTAAATCCTCTCATCTTTTGGAGTCTAAGATAGATGATCATTGACTAAAAAATAAACCTCCAAACTCTGATACATGGCTGAGGAATTACTTAGGTTTTTAAAAAGTGAAATTTACCATCTCTTGGCTAGGCTTTCAACATTAATATCCATGAAAAGTAATGTAATAAAGAGATAAAAGGAATTACTACCACATTATTTATTTCAATTGCTCATAAACAGCTTTATAAGATTCTAGAGAGAACGTGGTTAGTGTAAAAAATTGAAAGAAATTTTCCTACATTTGAAAATAGGCATGAGTCAAAATACTGGATCCACAAAACAGCTGAAACACATCAAAGAGCCTTTCGTCCTAAACCTTTTCTCTATCTTAAGCAAAGAATCATTTATGATTAGTCTTAGAGGGCAGCTTAACTGATTTGCCATGAATTATTTAAAAACCCCAAAATACCTTCTGTTGCTTTTATAGAAGTTTGATTTACAAGTTGAAAAATCAAACTGACAGTTTGGTCTCTTGTACAAATACCCAACCTTTAAAAATACTCTAGGCATTATAAATACATCTTTCATGAATATAGCTTCAACAGTCCTAAAAATAGCCTTTAGGAGGGGAAAAAAACCTACAACCTCTTTTAAGCCATTGTTTTATACATAACAGCAGGAAACCAAACAAAATGTCAAAGCCAAAATGATTAACACACCCAGTAATAAACATGAACATTAAGCATGAAATCTCACTCAAATACAAGTTTGGATATTGGCTCTGGGGTCTTAGATTTTAATGCTATTTTAAAATCTATACAGCGATGTCCTCTATGGTTTACCCCCACATCTGTGGCCATAGATGGCTCTAAGGCACCCATTCACAAAGCAACCAAAAGGCTGATACTTGCCTTCTGGATTGTATAAACAGGCTCATTTAGGGCTGGCTCCTGCACCAGCACCCTAAGAGGTTTCCCTAAGCTGCACCCCACCCCCACCGTGCCATTGGGCTAACTCTATACCACCTCTCACATGTGAAATCAAGGTTGCTCTGAAGGCAAAAGGTGAGAATGACAACTCCAGTAACTTTGTATACACCAACGGAGCACAGTGAAAGAGCTAAGAACCTCACAATTTGATGACTCTTCTGCATTAAGCATGGAGGCCCCAGGTATTCTATCGGTTTCAATGAGTATTTAGCACTCTCTATAATGCTATTCCACCTCTCCAAATCACAGAACTCAGAGGTCCAACATAGTCTGTATTCTGTGGTCTCTTAGGTCCAAGTGTGAACTGTGGCAATGTCTCTTAATATAACAACCACTTGCTATGAATATTCCTGTCTAACTGCCCACTAAACTACAAAGAAATCTTATGATCTGCAGACACTGTACTTTTGGAAGAATTCAGTATGGAATCAGCTCAATTGGTTTCATAATAAACGAGATCCTAAATTCATGGTATTGTGGGTGGAAGGCTAATTTGGGAAGAAATTCTTGAGACACTGCAGATGTAGGCTAAAGGAACAAATCACCAAGGTCAAATTCCTTCTGATGCTGGGAAAACCCTTAATGAAGACCAAGGGGAGAAAGGAGAGAAAGGAAAGGCCAAGATTACGATCATTAGGGCCAAAAGTGATTTCCTCGTCATTTTTCTCCATTCTTTATGGAGAGTTGGGTGGGGAGTTAAATCAGTAACATTGACCAATTTTCTCCTAAACCAAATATAATTTACATTTCCATGTTCTGATCCTAATAAATAGAAGCAGAACTGCAAAACCCTAATTGTTCTAGGATTTAGTGAATCTAACATTTCAAACTAGGATCCTTGAAAAATCCCAAGATGTTTTTGCCTTACATATTCTTTTTTTAAGTAGAATTTTTAAATAAATAACAAAGGGCCATCCGAGAAATTGGCATATTTATGTAGGTAAGACAAATAAATACGTTGTGAAGCAGCAACCAGTTGGAAAATGTTAAGAAAGACATATCCCATTTCTTACCTTATTTTGATCTGTCCAGTAAAAGAAAAATCCCTGAGGGTCAGTCCTCAAAATAATTGGAGTAACAATAGTGGAGTCCTAGAAACATAAGAAAAAGCATGTGTATCAATATGTGTCATTATAGAAAATTCTATCTTGGAGTTACTTAACAAGTAATAATTGTGTTACCCCCAGTCTGTCAATTATTAAGAAAAATTACCCCAAAAATTAGACATGAAAACTTTAACTTCATAGGACTATTAGTTATGTAACTGAGACATTCACCAATAATGAGAAGATCTGTACATACCTTGTAAAGGAAAAGGCCCGTGATGCATATATTTATTGAACAAGACAAATTTTTAAAGCCATTGATAGTTTTCCTATTATTAAACTGACTTATTTAGTTATCCAAATCAATTTTTTAACACTAAATATCATTATATATTTTATATGATTAAAGTTAATTAAAATCCATGTTTCAGGATAATATTTTAAATTTCATTTGCTCCATAAAATGATTTTTGATTGTACTAAAGGGAGTTAGCATGGCATTTGGGCACTGTTGTTTCCAAGGTAACTGTAAATAAGGCCATCTTTTACATATTTTGGAGAGTCGTAAAATGGTTTCAAATTTAAATTTCACACACTAAAACATCATAGAGGAAAATCGTTTAAGTTGAAAGCATACGTATTATAAGGCAAAAACTGCACGAATTGTAATTATAATATTAAACATTTCTAAAGTACGTGTTCTTTTCTTTTGGCAATTTGCAGAAAAGCATACCATCTGCACAAGAAAACACATATGACTGAATATGGATTTTTATACTGAAATACTTAGGCCTTTGCAGCATGGCATTTTTAAGGAGACAGAAACTACCAGTTTATTTCAGCTTTTTCATATACATTGTAACTACGGTATGTCATCTCCTCTATCTGATCAAGACGATTAGCAATGAAAATTGGGACCTAGAGAGATAATATGGGGATTTGTTGTTTTCTTTTCCCCCTGACAAGTAGTGCAGCAAATATGGTTGTAGTCTACACATTAACCTTGACAGCAGAGCCGGGCTCTGGAGGCCTTCCACTTGGGTTCAAACCCCTGTCTGCTCCCTCTTGGTGCCCCATTGCCCACAACTGAAAAAAAAAAGTGGGATAATAGTACCTACATCAGAAGGTTGTTGTGAGAATTAAATAGGATAATTTGGGTAAAGTGCCTGGAACAATGCTTGGCATATAATAAAATCAATAAATATTTATTATTTTCATAGTGGATTGGGTTTAAAAACCCATTTATTAAAAAATTAAAGACAAGAAGGCAGGAAGGGGCAGGAAAACTGGCCAAACAGACACAGGGAACATGGGGTGGAAAGGGGGAGAGTGCCGACACACAGTGGGGATTGCAATCAATGATTCAAAACAATTTGTGTGTATGTTTTTGAATGAGAAACTAATTTGTGCTGTCAACTTTCACCTAAAGCACGATAAAATTAAAAAAAAAATAAAGTTCATCCTGATTTTCTTAGTTAGCACGCAGTTTTAAAAAATATCTTTTACAAGGATTGTGCTGTTTCATAGAACTCTGGCTGGAATTTGAAAATTTGAAAATTACTTTTAAATGTAAAAAAAAAACCTAGAAAAAAGTTGATATTATAATGAAAGACAATAATTTTTAAAGATTTTAGATTTCTATGAAATTACATGCATAAAAGTTCATAATAATATTTTCAATAAATCATAACTATTTTCTATCCCATTCTGTCCGCTCCTCTTTTTATTGTTGGCTGCTGTGGAGTAGGCCCCCAAATCATGGAAGCACTGCCTGGTTCCGCACCACCCCCATGATCAGCTGAGGATCAGACTGAAACCAGCTCAGCATCATAGCAACACACAAGCAAGAATCCTCCCACTGAGCCACCACTGCCCCCCATTCTAGAGGTAGGCAAAATAAAAGCTTCCGACAGGCTCACACAGCACATATTCCCACTGCCAGGTGAATCTGAATTAACCTGTAGGTGCAACTTATCATTCTCAGGCCAGTTCCTCTCCTAATCAGAACGTATGACAAGATTCTAATTGAAATCTTGATGGCAATTTACTGCAAGGATCACAGACCATCAAATATTTAAGTTAGCAAAGGAAAACTACTCAAATTTATATTGTGGAACACGGTACTAGGCAGTTTCACTTGTTTCAGATGTAGCTATTGCTAGCTTATGCCTTCTCCTCCCTCAAAATTAAAGCTCCTTTGTTCAATGTTTTCTTGAGCCCGCTCTTCCAGTTGCAGTTCCTCAGTTAAGTGATCATTTATCTCGGCTCTCTGCTTGCTTCATCCATAATCACTTCTAACATTCCAGGATCAGGTGGAACTTGGCATTCTTGCCAAGCATGGCAGAATCTGACCCAGAAATACATGAATATCCATTTTGAATTCCACCTGCTTTTTTCCTATCTCCCGTGTAACTGCAAATGTCTATATTCTTCTGATACCAAAGCATCCATTCAATCCAGATCTAAACTATTGTTAATTGTCAGAACATATGTCATGATTTAGCATTTAAAAAATATGATTATCCTTCATTTGCAGATGGATTGTGATTCTTGCAGCACTGTTACTTCAGAATAATGGACACAACTCTCAGAGGGCCTATTTGTTACTCTCTCTCCATCACTATCCATAATATGTGTATTCCATAAGCCAATGGTTTTCAGACTTTAAGATGCATCAGATTCTATGGGAGGGCTTGTTAAAACACAGATACCATGACATTTGCCCCCAAGGCTGCAGAAGCAGGAGTCTGGGGTAGGGTCTGAGAATCTGCATTTCTTTAAAAAAAATAAAAAAGCTACCAGTGATGCTGCTGCTGCTGCTGGTCTGGGGACCACAGTGTGAGAAACACTGACATAGAACCACAACAGGCAAGACTCTGAGTCAGGTGTACAATGATGTAAAGAGCTGAGGAACACCAGGAAGCTTAAGATTTAGGCAAATCTGTGAATAGTAAGTGCCAAGTCTCTAAGAATTCAAGTCCAATTTACTCATTTGAGTTTCTAAGGTATTTTTCAATAACAGTAGAAGAGAGCACTAATAAGCATATCCATCACCCATCCATCAGTTTGTCATACTATGGTGGCTTGCATGTTGCTGTGATGCTGGAAGCTATCCATCCATCGGTATTTCAAATACCAGCAGGGTCAGCCATGGTGAACAGGCTTCAGGGGAGCTTCCAGACTAAGACAAAGTAAGAGGAAATGCCTAGTGATCTCCTTCCAAACAGTAGCCAATGAAAACCAACAGAACATTGTCCAATATAGTGCTGAAAGATGACCCCCCTAGATTGGAAGGCACTACACAATGGCTACGATGAACTTAAACGTGGCAATGATGATGAATATGATGCAGGGCCAGGCAATGCTTTGTTCTGTTATACAGAACACGGGGTCGCCATGAGTTGGAGCCTACTCAATGGCAACTAACAGCAACTGGAAAATTTAAAATTTTATATGCAGCTCACATTGAATTTCTATTGGGCAGCAGAGCCTTAAACCTTTATGGGGATGCTTCTGAACATCCAGCTCTTCCTCATAAAGCAAACCTGGTTCTCTCATCAGGTTTTTTTTTTTTTTTTTTTTTCATATAAGCAGCCAACATCTCCCAGGGTTCTAATCTTAGCATCTGAGTGGTATAGATTAAGTCCAGTTTCTTCTCTAAGTACCATTCCTTCAAACTTCAGATTAGAGCCACCATGTTACCACCCTCTAAGCTACACTTTACCAGTTCTTCAACCACTTGAGGTAGAACCTCAAACCTCAAGGCTAATGTCAAGGCCAGTCCACAGCCCACAGCACATTCCTTAGTACCACTGTCAGAAAGTCTACTGGCTGAGGATGACCATGAGCCTGATCCCATAATGATTCTTTTGTTCTTAAGCTATTACCAGAGAACACACATGAATGGAGACATGCACACAAAAAGTAATCAATATCAGAGTCAACATGGGGAAATAACAAGTGATGTTCAGCAGAGACCACAGGAAACTTGCATCAGGAAGTGGCAGGGCCAAATATGGCAAACATATACACTAGGGGAAAACAGCAATGTGAAAAGAGAAAGAATTCTAAGGATGGCAGAAAATCAGATGCAATGTCCATCAAATGTCAGCAAAGCAGCCTTGACTATGAAATAAAAACATAGCAAAGGCAGTCTGGGATGCAAAGCCTAGAGTGTTGGACATAAAAGTTCCCTGTGAATCAGCATTGAGGAGAATTTTTTCCCAGGAGTGAAATTTCCCAAAATAGAGGAAAGCAGTGGAGGTAAAAGGGTTCAGAGAAGAGGCGGCAAAGGAGTGGAGAGAAGTACCATTTAATATTTTTGCCTTTTACTGAAAAACATAAAAATCCCTTTTAACACAATAAACAGAAAGGTCCGAAGAATGGTTCTTGAAATATCATGTAAGTTACTTCAGATGCTGTGCTAGAAATTCAAACAGAAGTTCAGACCCCAAATCTCTGAGGTCTCATTGCTTAGTGAGGACATCAAACGAATACACCAATAATCACAATAAGGTATAGCGCTGGTGGGAGCGAAGTGGTAAACTCATTGTGGTTTCAGTTTGCATTTCCCTGAAACTGATTACTGATGATGTTGAGCATCTTTTTACGTAATTACTGGCTGGGGGGGTGGTGGTGAGAAAAAGAGAGAAGTGGACAGATACTTTTAAAATCAGTTGAAAGTATAGCATTTCTCTGCTTAAAATCCTTTTAATGCAGTGGTTCTCAACCAGGGACAGTTTTGTACTCTAGGAGAGATTTAGCACTGTCCCATGACAATTCTGGTTGTCACAACTAGGGGTTTGCTACCGGCATCTAGTTAGTACAGGCCAGGGTTGCACGGGCCAGTCCCTCACAACAAAGTATTATACAGCCCAAAATATCAGTAATGGTCCCGGTTGATAAATGTGGCTTTAATGGCTTCTCATTGACTTTATGATAAGTCTAAATTCTGGCAGGGACCTGAGCAGTGTGTACTCAGGCCCTTGACATCCTGCCAGCATTATCTGAGCCACACTCCCCGCTTGCTTCTGCTCCTTCTTTCC